GTGTGTGTGTGTGTGTGTGTGTGTGTGTGTGTGTGTGTGTGTGCGTGAGTGTGAGAGTGTGTTAGATAGGGCTGTGCAATTAATCGAAATACAACGATTATGGAAACACAATAATCGAGATAAAACTATTATTGCTCCCATTCTGCCCCCTTTCCAGCAGTTTCCTTCCTCCATAAAAGCCCAATTTCACATGCAAATCAGTAAAATCATGTAACGAGACTTTTGCCAAACGGGACGTGCTTGATTTATTTAAGTTGATTAGATTTATTTATGTTTTTAAAAGCGTGGTAACTTCTGTAAAATGGGACTGCTTGATTTATTAAAGTTGATTCGATTTATTAATGTTTCCCAGGAGGATTTATATGCACTGCATTTATATGCAGAAGATGGACATGTAAAGTCATCTTTTAGCTCAAACGGTCAAATACAAAATAATAAATATTTTCAAAAATATGTAAAGAATAAATTCAAAAATGTATCAAAATGCAGCGCTTAGTGATTATTCACATAAACTCTCGTCGGTCATGTAAGAAATGAACTTAAATAGTTGAGAATGAAAATACATTTGTTGGATCCGTGCGCTCTTAAAGTGACAGCGGGCTGATATTCCTGCTGATGACTGTGTCTTTTGTTGTTTGATTAATATTAAGCACAAAGACAAAATCACTCGCTGCTCTTGAGTGAAGGACTTTTGTAACTTCAATAAAAAACAAAGAAATTTTAATTATTACAGTGAAGACTATGCTTTTTTTTACATTCGATTATTAATTTCTGTTGTAGGCTGTTAACTGAATAGCCGAGCCTACTTTAGACTTGCAATAGCCTTAAATAAAACCTTCTAAGCACAGTTTGTTTCATTTGTATCTTTTTATACTATTGTATTTGTCCTTTTATTGCTGACAGTTAATTATTTTCAATAATTTTGAGGAGTTTGTTTGTTTGTTCTTTACTAGCTAATATTATACCCTAGTTCTCTGCTGTGATATTGAGAATTGTGAAATTTCGCTGGTCTCTAAAATGTAGATGTCATAGCAATCTTATTTACAGAAAATATGTATTTGATATATCACTATCTTTAAATAAATCACTCATAAAGTTTTGGTCATATGGCCCACTCATAATCGGGTTAAATAATCGTGATTACAATATTGACAAAAATAATCGTGATTATGATTTTTGCCATAATTGAGCAGCCCTAGTGTGTGAGTTCTTTTTATCTTTCAGCAGGAGACTGTGGCTCTTGTGTTTATAAGGAAATGCTTAATGCTTTTGCCGCATCATTAAAACCAGTCTCATCTGCCTCAAACGACGTGTTTCTGATTAATGGAGTGAAAGCCTCTGGAAAACAGACATGCAGACAGACCTTAAAGGGCCATGAGCGTGTTCAGAGACTCACTGCGCTGCTGTCGTCTTCAGCGTTTGCTGGATTCTAGCAGAAGATGACCTTATGAAATGAATTAGACATGCTGATCTTTCATTCAATATACCCTTGTGTTCACTTCCCTTTCTTCCTCGTAGGTGTCCGACATTCAAACATCATCTGTGACAGCTGTAAGAAGCATGGCATCATGGGAATGCGCTGGAAGTGTAAGGTGTGTTTCGACTACGACCTGTGCACTCAGTGCTACATGAACAACAAGCACGACCTGACGCACGCCTTCGAGCGCTACGAGACGGCGCATTCGCACCCGTGAGTCTTCTGTCTGTTCTCTGCATGACTCTGTTCCCGCTAGCGTTGTCTAAATGTCAGCCCACTGCTCTCATTCTCGTAGAAACATCAGTAAGCATAAGCCTTCTTTTCTTTTCTGATGCAGGACACAAGACAGATTCTGTGTGAATACACTTTTGATGATAGTGATGGTATGAATGACCTAATAACTCCTAATAACAAATGTGTGTACAGTAATGCACTTACAGTGGAAGTCTTTTAGCCAACACCAGAATAAACAAGGCCTAGAGTGAGTAAAATTGCTTGCTAAACCTGCCAAGCTGTTTATATCTGTTATTTCAGCTCATTGATATGTGCTAGGATAACTGAAATAGACATGATGTAACGCCTCTTAATGGCGTAACAAAAAAATAATCGATATAAAAAACAATTTCCCCAAAAGAAAGATTTCCTTTGCGGTTCAAATAATAAATGTACTTTTTTTTTACTAAAAAACTTAACTAAAATAACATATGAGCTTTACTTCTGCGTTTAAACCCTCCGGGATATTTTCTTCATACAGTATATTTAATTTATGTGTATTTCACTTGATTTTGCAAACAAATACTTAATATTTTATGCAGTGTTGCTTCTCAAGTAAATTTATTTTGTTTCAATTATATTTTTACTGTAAATCAAGAAAAATAAAGACTAGGTAGGAAAACTTAAGCGGTATTTATTCTGAAATGTGATGCTTTGTTTTTTTTAAAGTGTAATTAAATTCAGTTACAGCAGGGGTGCCCACAATTTTTTGTTAGGGGATCTGCTTTTCAAATGAGATAATCACTGAGATTTACCAAATGAAAAATAAATACATGAATAATAAAATACATATAAAATAAATAAATAAAAAGCTTGTTGGGATGTATCTTTATATTGCATTAATTTAATTATTAATTAAAAAAAAATAATAAATAATAATGTTCTATTCTTAGTAGGGCTGGTCGATAATTTGATAACGATAATTATCGCGATATAATTTTCCTCTATAAAACGATATGAAGAGTTCGATAAATGTTCGATATAATGTCTATGCGCCAAAAAACGGAACGAAAAAGATCCAGTGTGAAGCGCTTGAATTCAGCGATGAACACAAACGACTCTGTGATTTAAACTAGTTTAAAGCCAAACAGGAGAAACGCTGTGTGCAACGAGACAGTCAGAAGGCTTTTCAGTCTACAAATCGCCATCATTTACCATGGATTTACTGTAGTAACACTCACTGCACCATGGTATTGTGGCAGAAATTTGGGATATTCACACTGAATTTTATTACAGGAGTAATGGTAGACCTATATAATTGTAGTATGTATTTGTGATTAAGCTATAGCATGTGTGCATTTATACTGAATGTTTTTAGACTGCTGTTTTTCATACAAATATGCTACCTAAAAACCATATAGTTATATTTTTACCATGGTGTTGAGGTGCTATATGTGTGGTTTTAACTGTGTTTATCATGATTTAAATATATGTTACTATGGGAGACCGATGCTTAATTTAAAAATGAATAAATAAATAAAAAACTTAACCATTTAAAACTGAGGTTGCTACAATTTTTAGAGATGTTACTGATTTTGATAATGAACAAAAATTTACCTCTGCATCCTAACTCAAGCTACTATCAAATGTGCATTTCTGAGAGACAAAAAGTGATATTATTATTATTAATATTATCAGGCAACCCAAACCTGTTTCTTGATTTGAAAAAATATCACTCATTAGAAAATGCAGAAACTAAGAAATACATTTTTCTATTTAGATATTTATTTTGTTAAGGAAAATGAATGGTCTGGTTTCTACAACTTTCACTTTGGAGCAAAAATCTGGCTTTAAACTGGAAAGAAATAAAGATTTGACATTTATCGTGATAATTATCAATATCGACTGATATGGAAAAAATTATCGTGATAATTTTTTTGACCATATCGCCCAGCCCTAATTCTTAGTATCCCATAGAACTTGGCCTGCATTTACCTAAAGCAGTGGTTCTTAACCTTTTTTTACTCCAAGACCCCCTCCTCTCCAAATCAATACTGCAAGGCCCCCCAACCTACAGATATTCTGTACAACTTAAAAGTATGTAAAGCTCAATTCTACAGTAATTTTAACAAATAAGCACAAGTCAACCTGCCATACCAAACAAGACGACATGAAGATACCAAAGGACTGCATATAAACAACGGATCCATTCAGAATCACTAAACACACCAAAATACAAATGAAAAATAAAACCATTCTGAACTCAGTGATCTGAAAGTGGCTCGATGTCATCAGTGAATAGTTCCTCTGTCAGTCTGTGTTTGGAGCATCTGATGCCCATATGTACATAAACACCACTGATCCTCACAAACTTCTCTAAAACATGTGAGCATCCGTTATTAAACACTGTATACAATATGCTGTATACAACTATGTGAATTCATTGAAGTGAGAGCGCACATACACAGTTCATTTGCGCATCAATAATAATGGACACACGCATGCATAATGTACTCCTGTATGTCACTGTAATCATCTTTACCTTGATTACAGTCGTCATCCATCAAAACTTGACTAGCACAATACTGGCTTGCTTTATCCAGCCGAGAGCTGTAGTTTGCTTATCATATGCTCATGCAGCGGTCAGGTGTTTTAAGCTGCTGTTCGAAACATAGAATATCACAGAATACGTAGAGAGGTGGTGCTGTTATTTATTTATATGTAGCATTTGGACCAATCAGACACACAACTATTTGTTATATTTAACAAATAATATCTAACGCCCCCTCACCTAACCAAAGGGCCAACTATGAGGGTCTATGAACCCTTCCCCCGAAGTGCCACTAACACCTCAAAAGGGCAGAACAGGCCTCTGGTTCCATGGCAACCAAAGACAAACCATCTGATTAGTGGTCGACCGATATTTGGCATTTTTTAAATATCGGCATCGGCTGATAAGTTTTTCTGTTTGGGCGATGTGTTCGAGGCGGGACTTTTATTTTGACTGCGCACACAGTGTTCACATTCTCCTTGTTCGCTGTCGTCGTTAACAGTTCTGTCTAATATGGACAGAAATCTGTCTAATAATCAGAAAGAATTGTTAAACAAAGGAATTAAAATGTATACAAAAAAGGTAATTATTTATGTACATTTCCCTTTTGAGCTAATTTGCTACATATATTTGCTTTTAAATTATTATAAGTACATCTCGCACCCCCACCCCCCGGTTGAGAACCACTGACCTAAGCATATTTAAATGATGTGCGATATTTAAATGATGTGCGATCTACCTGCATTGCCTTTGCCATCGCCTGGTAGATCGCGATTGACCTATTGGGCACCCCTGAGTTACAGTGTGTTTCACTGCTTGTATGTGTTTAAAATATCCAAGCCGGTCTCCAGTCTCAGCTATGCTGCTTGCCTTGGTACATGATTTTAAAAAAACATCTTCAGGAGAGAGAATGTGTGTGTGTGTGTGTGTGTGTGTGTGTGTGTGTGTGTGTGTGTGAGAGAGAGAGATACACACACACACACACACACACACTGCCACCAGCAGGTGCTTAAAGGCATAAACTCCCTCATTTTACTCTGCCATTAACAGAGAGAGAGAGAGAGATCTACAACCACGCAAATACAGCCGTGCACCACTTCACTGCGTCACCATATGTATTTATTCAGTTATTCAAGAAATACTTTGGATTATCTCTAGGGATGTGCAGTACAGCTTAAAATCGTATCTAGACATTTTTTCATGCTAGGTTTTTGTTTTTCAATCAGAGGAATCTTTACTGCACTCGGCAGAATTCTGGCACAGGAATCAGAATTGATTAGTTCTTCGTTCTTGATTCAGAGTTCTGGTCCGAGAATCGTTCGTTATTTCATCACGTGAGAGCCACATGTGCTATATGCAATTAGTTCCCCTCCCGAGTCCCTACTTCTGTCTGGTCTGTTCCAAAATACAGACATACAAAATATACAATATATACAACATTTATTATCACACTGTTTTTAATAACTATAAATATTGTCACACAATAAAGCTTAAACACTGCTTTAAGGCATGTGCACATTGAGGAAAACAAGTTCCCTATAGGCTACATTTTCTTTTTCCTATCATGGCCATAATTTCTTATGCAGCATTGCAAAAGAACCCATAATTTGGGACTGAACTAATCATTTCTGTTTCCTGTGCATAGTCTGTATGACTTTCACTTGACAGAAGACCGAACGACTCAGACCATGAAGGAGCAAAGAACCAAGTCAGTAGAATGATCCAATCTTCCCATCACTGCTTGTGTACTGATATCACTGCGGTGTTACACGCTGCACTGCCGTCTATCGATGTAGATAAGCATGATCGTCTCCGAGTTGCATGTAAATTACACTGATACTAGTGAGTTTTACAGATCATTAGCTGTCTAACAAAAGTGAAGCAACTTAAGCATGTAGGGTATAAGAGTGAATCAGAAAATTCAAGATTTGATCAGATTGGTGTTGAACAACCCAAAGAACCAAATTCCACAAAGAGGCCCAGGACAACAAGACAACGTCATAAATCTGCCCAGATCCTAGCGCCAGCCAGTCTGAAGCAAGCCTAACCAACCAGCTCTTTCACAGAACAGCTTGCAACATTAACACAAAAGAACACTTATTGATAATCCAGACTCAGGAAGGAGATTGTCAATTTTGGGGCAAGTAACCAAGATTGATGGTCAAAGAGATGCACAGCCTGACCATCACATGTAAATCCATGATAGTAATCACAGAGCTAAAGACTTTCTTCGGATTGACTCCCCCCCCCACCTAGAGGACAAGAACCAGACTGAAATTCTTAATGAGACCTTTTAACCTTTTTGTGCCTCACAAAGCACACCCGCACGTTCACAGAACGATACATACGTAGATGCATCTAAAATCATCTTAAAAAGGACTTAGAAATGAATATCAGTCCATTGCATAACTCTATATCATGTATGTAACCCACACATTTGACTATCATG